TTGACATGTCCTTGTGTTGATATAAATCGTCAACGACAGACAGCAACAATGTTGACAGCGGGGGCACGAAAGGGTCACTGAAACTGAGCCATGACACCCGGTGTCCACAGGACCAAGATGGTCCACTGGCACCACATTTTCACCACATCGGCGCCACCCACCAGCCAAACAAATTACAAAAAGGGTCCGAAATACGCGAAACTCCTTCCGATACCCACTGACAAACCGTTGTGTAGACTGGTTGATGACAGAAAGAATCTAACTGTTTTCACCAACATCAACCCGGACATATGGAGAAAGGTGCAGTGGGATTGAGTAGCAAAAGGCATCTAACGGGATCGGGTGGTCAGGCTCGATGACTTGTCGACACATGTCATCGTATCCCAATTGCGTAGATTAATGTTCAAGATGTTGATTACTGGATTGTCTGGTCCAGACTCGATTATTTACAAACCCGCCACCACATAGCTGGAATATTGCTCAGTGCGGCGTTAAACAACAAACCAACCAACCAACCAACCAAGATATTAACATCTATGTAAGAACACAGAAGAAAATGCGAACCAATCACATCAAACAAAGGTATAACCCTCAATATGAATAAGTGCACATTCAGGGGCAAAAAGCTTCCATACATGGCAGATAAATGTCCAGATGTCAGAGTCTTCAAGAGTGAGTGAGTTGAGTTTTACGCCGCACTCAGCAATATTCCAGCTATATGGCGGCGGTCTGTAAATAATCGAGTCTGGACCAGAGAATCCAGCGATCAACAGCATCAGCATCGATCTACACAATTGGGATACGATGACATGTGTCAACCACGTCAGTGAGCCTGACCACCCGATCCGTTAGTCGCCTCTTACAACAAGCATGGGTTACTGAAGTTTACAAGAACGAGATGGAGAAGTAATCAGTGGTACGTTCTGGTACATCGCTTATCTACTTACAACATGCACACATATGAATGTTTACAAATGATGACAGCATATGTACTCGTTCATAGACAAGAAATCAAAGAAATCTCCCTTTGGGTAGAATATAATCGCGTTATACCAAAATATTTATGAAACAGCTGTTCTGTTAGTGTTGGTGTCTTCTGTTTTTATCGATATTGACGGCGTTGGATGTTTCAAATTTTATCTTAAGCTTCAAAGGGAATTATATTTTTAACACCTGCTGTCACGTTTTCACAGCTGATGGGTGTTCGTGGAAATGAGATTTTAATTAAGCTGATTGCTCCATGAAAACATTAATTGCAACCCATTTGAACCATGGCCTCTGACGAAGTCCTATCAGGTACCAAGCGATACAGAATTTCATACCTGGATGAACGGGGATAAACCGGAGTACACTCTTTTACATTTGGACCCTACCCAGGCTAAGTACTGGGTCGTACAGCAAGACGATTCCAGTTTCTAGATAGGGGGGACGTGGGAAGAAAATTGTGACGTTTTTGTGGCATCATGCGTCATTCAATTCGGGGTCGGTATTTACTCCACCACCAACAATATGTGCATCTGAATGTATATTTACTAAGTATGCTTAATATGTGCACATGAAAATGCCCTCACAACGCGTCAGTACTCAGTGCACGTTTCATTATTGTCTCATCTCCACGGGGAGTATACAACCCTGGTTACACGTTTGAAGATTTGAGAGAAGGTATTTGTCTCTACATTTCCATTTCATCCCAGTCCGGCTGAACGAAGGCAAAAACAAGGCCCCTTGCCTATGACACATGTCTGTAATGTTTTACGACCGATGTTTCAGTATGTACAGGAATATAGAATCTATCAGGATCATTCATCCACCTACTCTCAGCCCAACCTAATTTGGTACCTTGGCCGAAAACCAGAATCATTCAGGAGATGGACATTCGCCGGTCCAACTTCTCTCAGCCCAACCTAATTTGGTACCTTGGCCGAAATCCAGAATGATTCAGGAGATGGACATTCGCCGGTCCAACTTCTCTCAGCCCAACCTAATTTGGTACCTTGGCCGAAAACCAGAATCATTCAGGAGATGGACATTCCTAATTTGGTACCTTGGCCGAAAACCAGAATCATTCAGGAGATGGACATTCGCCGGTCCAACTTCTCTCAGCCTAACCTAATTTGGTACCTTGGCCGAAAACCAGAATCATTCAGGAGATGGACATTCGCCGGTCCAACTTCTCTCAGCCCAACCTAATTTGGTACCTTGGCCGAAAACCAGAATCATTCAGGAGATGGACATTCGCCGGTCCAACTTCTCTCAGCCCAACCTAATTTGGTACCTTGGCCGAAAACCAGAATGATTCAGGAGATGGACATTCGCCGGTCCAACTTCTCTCAGCCCCACCTAATTTGGTACCTTGGCCGAAAACCAGAATGATTCAGGAGATGGACATTCGCCGGTCCAACTTCTCTCAGCCCAACCTAATTTGGTACCTTGGCCGAAAACCAGAATCATTCAGGAGATGGACATTCGCCGGTCCAACTACTCTCAGCCCAACCTAATTTGGTACCTTGGCCGAAAACCAGAATCATTCAGGAGATGGACATTCACCCGTCCAACTGCTCTCAGCCCCAGCTAACTTGATATTTTGAGCGAAGCTAGAATCATTCATGAGATGGACATTCAAATTATATGTTAATCCCACCTAATTTGGTACTTTAGCTGAAGCTAGAATCATTCAGGAGACGGACATTCACCTGTCCAACTACTCTCAGACCCACATAAATTGGTACCTTGGCCAAAGCTGGAATTCTTTAGGCGATGGCAATTTATCCCATCCAACCACTCTCAGACCCTCTTAATTTAGTATTTTGGCCGAAACTAGAATGATTCAGGAGATGGACATTCACGAATTCAACTACGCTTCACCCCCCTAAGTTGGTACAGGACTAACCGCAACACGTTTTTGCGCTCCAAAACAACATTCTCGTGGAGGTTCCAGGTAAGAATGATAGGTGCCAAGGATCCTACGTTCACTATGAGGATCGGATGGCTAAAAGTGTGAGCGGACACACGTTCATACTTCATTCGACCCGTGAAGATCCGACGTGGTTGACACATGTTATTGTATCCCAAATGCGTAGATCGATGCTCATGATGTTGATCACGGATTCTCTGGTCCAGACTCGATTATTTACAGACCGCCGCCATATAGCTGGAATATTGCCGAGTGCGGCGTAAAATTAAACTCACCCACTCATACTTCATACTCGGGGACTCCAATTCCCTCATTTCAGACTTGGGGCGGTGGGGTAGCCTAGTGGTTAAAGCGTTCGCTCGTCACGTCGAAGACCTGGGTTCTATTCTCCACATGGGTTCAATGTGTGAAGCCCATTTCTGGTGTCCCCCGCCGTGATATTGCTGGAATATTGCTAAAAGCGGCGTAAAACCAAACTCACTCACTCACTCATTTCAGACTTTACCACATACCTGCCGTCGCTTGTAACGAAATGTACCGAACCTGTAATATTATTCTCTGTAACTGTACATAATGTCGTATAGTTGCAGCAGATGCGCGCAAAAGGCACAGGACAGAAAAATCACTTGTCAAAATCAACTAATACAACAATACAATGTCATCGACATTATAGTTTTTTTTGACAGGCAAAGTGTATGGTACTATCTGATTGCATGCATGTTTCGATTTCCCATTAACTTCCGTGTGTTCGACATAAATCCAGCTCAGACAATTGTTAGTGACACACACAGCTGGTATCCTATCAAAACAACTGGACTATCCTGGTCAGCAAAAGTGTAGTGTTTTTCCTAAATGCCATCGGGACTTCTTTATTAAACGTTAGAATAAATTACAAAAAATATTTGTGTTATAAAAAATCCACAGTGACTCTCCTCACGCTTATAACACCTGAATGTAACGACAGCAAAGGTATAAAACTGACAGATCACACACCATATTTGGGAAAACCTTGAAACCAAACAGGAATGGAGCCCATGACTTAAAGATCATGTCACAGTTTAGAGATAAAACTGACAGATCACACTCCATATTTGGGAAAACCTTGAAACCAAACAGGAATGGAGCCCACGACAGTTTAGAGACTGACGCATTCGGAGCGTCTCCGACTGCTGGGTAGTCTGTCTCACAGTCCCTGAACCACATTAATTTCCCTACTGCCAAGCTCTCTCTGCAGTGCTAAAGCCCTAGATAAAGCAAGTCTAGATTTCCTCAGGTTCTGAATCTCTGGTCTCCCTAGGGCTCCTTTTCAATATAAATGGGCTTGTTTGTTACTATCAAAATTATATATATTCAGAGACTAAGCCTTAGTCTAACTGCTGGGCTACCGGATTCAGGAATCATTCCTGATCTATTGAAGTCTTATTTCATGCATATTCGTGCTTACCCTTAAAGTAAGGTATGGACCACTCCACACTATGATTTACCACAGTACTCACTAATGCTAAATGCATGGTAGAAACAGTTCCATATAACTGTCGGTATCGATTTACAACCCGCGTTAACACGATGTATGTATTAGCATAGCGCACTTGAACCTGAGCAAGCATCTGTCAGCACCACTAACAAGGTATCACATCATAAACGATATGTCAGATTCCATCTTTGTCTTGCTTATCGTTTATCTTTGTTTCTTTAAAAAAAACTTCGGTAAAATTCTGGGTGAAAGACGTCTAAAGTCGTACTGAAGTGGGTTCTTTGATAATGATTACACAATACCACAATGGTCAAATGAAATACAAATACGATCGTTAGTGTGGCTCGCGGGCAGACTGTCGATACAACGTCTTAACTTAATATTCAGTGGTAAGGAATCAATCCAGTCGGCGCTTATTACGGAGCGAAACCTTACAATCAAATGACACATCACCTTGTAACACTTGTGGCTTAAACGTAACACTCGACCACATGTATTCCCCAGCCCATTACAGCTGGGCCCTTTAAGTATTAGACGGCTATGATACTGAAACGGTTCGTGTATGTTACCACCATGTCGGCTTTTATAAGGCAGTTTCCTGCTTCACTGACGCTGTTCAATGTTTCACACACACCGACTCTAAATACCCTACCATTTACCACTATGAGCGAGTGTACACGATGATGCCTGTCTCTGCACGCTGCAACCGTCTGTCTGGAGAACATAATTGATTGTGGACACTTTGTGCGCATACTTTACACGTTATTTCCGCCATGTGGTGTTCACTGCGTGGTACATGGAGTAAGCTCCACAGGTGACACAACAACCCCCAACGACTGTTATTTACACACAAGGACAGCGAGCGACTCGCGCATACCTTAGTGCAGACCACTGCCGCATCGGCAGAGCGATACTTGTTTCTGTTGGACATCGGCAAAGCTGGCAGTTGCTCGGAGTGATGCTCTGAAATCCGCCTATAGACCACCGGCTGTCATTCAATAAAGCAGCTCGGTATCCCAACGTTATCTGGTTGGAAGCTTCTGATCTAGTTGTTCTATTCAATAAAAGAACATTGCCTCACATTGCGAAGCTGGAGTAGCATCAGAGAAGCTGCCGTTTACGACACTTATGGTGTGAGTGTTGTGGGGGAAAAAATATACCGGAGCATACAGAAGACTGTTTCGAAAGTTGCGCCAGTTGGACTTTGGAGTACTTAAAATATTTTCTTCTTGACATTCTCATGTCCCCGACAGACATAATGTGTAATTCTCGAAGGATAAGGTGGGAGTTTGCACAGTGACGAAACCCGAAATCAACTGTCTCAGCATTTTGAGGACATTCGTGATACTTCCAGTGGATACATGTTAACGACACCAGACGGACTGCATTTGTGAAAGAGTTTGAAGATAATATTCCCCTTTTATGAAAGGCAAGCGCTGAGAGCAGACTGATAGAGCTCACTTCTTCTCCGCTCTAACTCTACCTACCATCTATGATTCACACCTATCGGGCACAGACAGTTGAGAAAGGAAGACCTTTTATATCTCCCGTCTTAAACATAGTGGCCAGTTCAAGTTTGAAGGTAAGTGAAATGCCTTTAGAGGTTTATGTCAATATCCTCTGTTATTTCATGTCAGAATGATCATTATTGCAAATTACATATTGCCTGTGTTTCACAGAAAGCTACCGTGTTTTGGTGTATTTAGATCAAATGCAAACCAGAACCCACCGTTTTCTTCAGATCTTTTCACAAAGCTTTGTGAATACAATATTTCACGGATGAAGTGGCATCCCATTCGTGGAACCCAAGCAGGTGGTATGTCATTGGAAATCTGATAATGAGTTGCTTTCAAGACTTTAGCTATCGGTCGTGCAGAGGTATCGGCTAGTTTGATGTTCAATGAATAATACAACATTGCTTGTCGGAATTCGTGCTCGGTAGAATTGTTCTTTAAACTACGTTGCTTAAGAATTCAGCCTGTAAATTAAGCAGGCTTGTTTCACGCAGCTTTGTGTAGTAATGCCTTAATCCCGTAAGAGAGAAAATCCCATGGACTACACACTCAAGATTACATCATTGATGGACTGTTTTCGTCTCCTCTGCATTTGTTAAAGAACTTACGGAAAAAACAACTGTTGTGAACATAATTATTAAGAAATTCTATTAGAATGTGATTCATCCCAGCTGCAAGAACCTAACCAAAGGAGTGATGAACTTGCCAAGAAAGTTGGATTGATAAACCATTCTAAAAGAACTTCAAACCTAAAGTGATAATACGAAAAAGTTTTACCCCAGCATTCGAGGATGCAATGGTTCAGGTCTATCTAGACTTCACAATCAGGCAACACGTCGGATGAGATTGAGTAAGGCAGTCTATTTCCCACTGTCTGTCTTCCGCAAATGGAAATCTAACAGTATTGACTGAAAACGAAATCAATTAAATAATGCTCTTAAGTTGTGTGAAGGTGATTACAAACTCCGTGAGAAGCGAATAGAAACGCCCCATTGCAGTATTAAAGATTAGCAGGGTTATTTCATATCTTTTTATGGCATTTTATGTTCTTGATAAGCATGCCCTGCTAGTCTTCGACTAACATGCTCGTCAAGATAAACTTGAGGAATGAAGTGAATCAAATATTCATACTGACTGCTTCATAAAAGGGTATGAATTATCGATTGAAGTTCAGCAATACTAATTGCAACTTATCAAACTTTCATTACAGTTACCATATTATTATTAGGCAGTGACGCTTCCCTTGAGCTAGGGGTTCGCCGTACTGTTATTAATGTCTCTGTGATCGACGTCAATTTCTATTGTACTGTTGAATGCCAATTGTTTGCCCTGGATCGAAGTATTAAAACAGGTAATTCACACTGACACTGTAAAGGATAATAACAGAAGGTTCGATTGTACAGGGATAGTATTGGTCTCGGACAAAACATTCAAAGGACATAACATGTTGAAATGTGTAATATATTTCCATGTAGTTGTACAATGAGTGTACAAGCAAACAGGTCACAACATAAAATGTTCGGATAACTTGTGTTTACTTCGATGTAAAAAGACTTTTCCAGGAAGGTTCCAGCCTAAATGTTTATGGGCAACAACTCCTTTCTTATCCTTTGTAAGAACTACCTATCAATTAGTTCTGCAAAACCGCAAATACTTTACATGGGACCAAGGATCCTTAATACATTGCGGCAACCACAACTGATGGTTACCTGATGCATTTTGATATCAATTATTTTTTCTTGTAACAAAGTTTGAAGTAAAATGAAATTATGAATCCATAATTTTTACACTGAGTATATATTTCACAATCATGAAAGTTACTTTCTTTTGGACAAATAGTTGATCGTTCTTTCAATATTATGTAATAGTAAAAATAGTAAATGTTAAAAGAGTATATCTATATTAAATATTTATCGAACTGCACAAAATGGAACCTTATTTACAGTCAAAACTGATATCACTCTAAGTGATGTTTCCTCAAACAACCTCTTTCCTTGAGAAGGGATACTTTTGAGAACTGGCTTTGAAAATGAGTTCAGACTGGTTTATGTCTTCAAACCTATTGATTAAAAATATATTTATCGAAAATAAACCTCCAGCGTTCTCTTCGTTAACGTACTAATCGTAGAAACTCTCGCTACAGCTCCTGCCAGAAAGTCACATTGATTTTAAAAGGCGTCACATTTATGGTTCCTTTGGAAATTGCATTAATTTCAAAATAAATGGACTAAAACAACATGAAGTATTTATGAGCTAAAGAGACGTTTTCTGCACGGCATGCAGTTGACCTTTTCCAGAATAGTATCACAAGCGGGTTATCAGATTATCTGTCCACTTATAGGGTTTCCAAAGATTCAGCATGTGATAGTGCTAAACATAGAAGAAGATGCGGGGAAAATATGTATTATTGTTGAAAATGTGACCTATAAAGTAATCGGCTGTCGACATTATACGTTGCATCAGGAAGATCTTCCAAAAGTGTTTTCGGATTCTTCACACTACCGTAGCTCGGTTCTAATGTTTTCAGTACTTATAGTCCAAACCATTTTGGAAAAGTTCAATGTGATTTGGAGGGGTTGGAAGCTTATTTTTAGCAATATTCGAAAAAATATTTCAGCGGGTGGCCACCAATGTGGGGAATCGAACCTTCGCTCTTCGGCCTGACGAGTGAACGCTTTAACCACTAGGCTCCCCCATCGCCCCTACGTTATTAAGCATCGCACTCACAGTAGGTACATTACTAAGTATACACATACATATGTTAAACTCAAAACACTCGTGTAGATGCTCCTTGGGGACACAACAACTGTAAAGTGAATATATTACCGCATCCCTTTGCCCTATTCTCAACCGTCTGACGATCCCCGATTTTGAAAACAATAATGAATTCACGTTATCGATCTGTTAACTGACAAAGGCGCTTCTTCACGCTTCTTCAGTCTTTCCAACATATCTATGATTCATGATATGTAAAGCTTCATAAGAAATGTCCACTGAACGCAAATACCGACTGTGTGAAAAGAATATTTTTTTGTGATTTTCAATATGTTTGCGAACAGATGAATGTAACCTGTCCCACCGGTTTGGCTGAGGTTATAGTATGCATTTTGAAAGGCATGTCTATCTAGAGTAAGTGAGCTGGATTTTGGGCCGCTTCCAGCAATATCACGGCAGGGGACACCAGAAATTGGCTTCGCACATGTGGGGAATCCAACCCGGGTCTTCGGCGTGACGAGCGAACGCTTCAATCACTAGGCTATCCGTCTATGCAGATATTTATTAATAATATCATTGTATTCACGTTTATACGTTTGTATTTTTATGATTAAAATTAATCATAAAAAATGATCGTCAGAAATTCAAGCCCAACGTCTGGGGACGACACCAGGTGTTTATTTAACTGGTCCATGCTTATTCGATCAAAGTGAGGGTCGGGTTTACAATAACTCTGTAACTTGTCTTACTGTTTTAGTATACCTACCTTATCAACGTCTTAGTCGAAATGAAAAATAAAGTAAATTACAGTGGTTTTACTCACCTTTTAAGAATAATCGAGAAACTTCAGACACAAAGAATAAGCTTCACAAAGTGTTCACGAGTGGAGTCCGAAAACAAAATGGTGGAGGTGTCTCATGCTAATCGCACCACAGTTGCATTCTGCATCCCTTTAACTATGAGTGTGGAACTGGAAGGGATTTCTTGTTCCATAACCTCTTTGAAACAACCATTTGCTTTACTACCTTGTCAGGCTTTAATAGTCCTAGTGAGAAATCAAATGATAATATTGGGAATTTGGCAAAGTTAATATTTCCGAGAACAATGTTTCACAGCAGCTAAATGGTGCTTAATCCTTTTTCATTCGTCTTTTAGTAAAACATAAATTCAAAATTAACTTTATTTGGAATTCCCCGTCGCCGATATAAACACACGCTGAGCCTGTTTGGGTTATGCTCAGGAAACCGTTTGAAACGAGTGCTTCTTTGAAAGGCTGAATTAGTTGGTCTTTGATGCAAACAATAAAGTCTTCGATCTTCTTTGTCTCATGAGAAATGTTATTGATAACCAGTGCAAAGTACAACATGACCTTTGTGTTATCGGTGATTGTGATCTTTATTATATGAGTTAACATGACACAGCACAGCAACAACCTTCTTCAACAGTTTTCACCGCTACTACAAATATCGCCATCAAAATATGGATTATTGACTTTGACGGGGTTCCAATGCTGATGCTCGTATTGTTAAGCTCCTTTAAACCTCCACGTTGCACAATGGTTGCAAATGGGCGGCAGAGGAGTTACACGAACAGGTTCAGTCTGTTTAGGATATATGGGGTGGTGGGGTAGCCAAGTGGTTAAAGCGTTCGCTCGTTCGATTCCCCACATGGGTACAGTGTGTGAAGCCCATTTCTGGTGTCCCCCACCGAGATATTGCTGGAATATTGCTAAAAGCGGCGTAAAACTAAACTCACTCACTGTTTAGGATATGAACAAGTGAGTAAGTGAGGGTGTTACTGAGTTTGATTTTTTTCGTCTGTGAGCAGTGGGGGAGTGTGAACAGTGTGTCTTGTGTATTTGTAATTGTGCGACTTGATCATCACGATTGTTATTGAATTAATTAGGAAATGGGATGTCCCGTGTTTGGTTTCCCATAACGAAGACGTTTATAGAATACCGTAGCATATAACGTATCGTGGTGGTGTGTGGTCCTGTGCACAGAACCTAGATCACAAATTAGTTGAAGTTAAGCACTGTTGGGCGCGGAGATACCTGGGATGGGTGACCATGTTTGGCAGCTTGGCGGAGTTTCTGGGACTCCAGTCCTGCCACACAACGAAGTGGTCTCACCTTAGGCAAGTGAGTTTGTTCAAAATAGCCTCTGCTCACCCAGCAGAAAATGGGTACCCTGTGGGATAAGTCATGTGACTATTAACCTTCTAGCGCCTCACAGGCAAACTAATTATTAAACCACTAAAGCATACCGTAGCATATAATGTATACTAATATAACATACCGTAGCATATAACGTATACTGATATAGCATATCATACCGTAACATATAATGTATAC